AGCAATTCTGTTAAATCAAATATGTCTTCACTGCTTTGGCTACTGTTATTTCACAGAGGATTAATAGAGTTTTATCTTATTTTATTACTGAACAACATGTCTTCATTTTTCAAAGGGAAGTCTCTGTTCTTTTCCTAACCGAACCCTAACCCTTTACAATTATTCAGTACTCAGAAATTATTTGGACACTTAAGCCACTCTTAATATTTTTTTTTTGCCAATGCAACTACATTTGCACATTAAATGTGTCCAGATGGGGTCAGAATTAATAACTAAAGAACGTGCAATTTGATGGTAATGAAATTACAGATCTGCTACGACGTTGCAGTTATTTTGGCAATTCATGAAATTTCAGAAGTATTATGAATATAGCAACTGGAAGGTTCTAGGAGACCGTACTGAGGGCATTGTGAGTTTGTAATTTGATGGTAATGAAATGATTATGCGACATCCGAGTTACTCTGTCAAATTAGGAAGTCATGAAATAACCAAAAAGTAGCAATACATGACGTGATCCTGTCTCAGTTGAGTTTCAGTGATGATCAGTGCATCAGAACAAAACATGGAAACCTTTGCATCAAATTCAGAATAAAAAAAAAAATTCTAATTTTAATGGCAAAAGGCTATACCTTAACTAGTCGACGCAAGTTACTAACAGGACATTTCACAAAATTTTGCAGTAAGATACTACGAAATGTACAAAACTGGGAACTGAAAATGAGTGTCACCTTGTGATTTACAGTGAAAAAAACATAAATCGGCATTCCCCGAATATTTTGAGGGTTTTTTCATTAAAATAATGTTGTTTTTTTCGTTGTTTTAGCCCGTTCTTATCAGTTATGCACATCAGAGTTATATGTTATACGTGTCCCAAAAACTATATATATATACACACACACACACACACACACACACAATTCAACAAATTAAGATAAATATATAAAAAACCTAAACAAACAAAATTATACACAATTAATAAATAAACATTTAAATAAATACAAATCAAATACATCTAAAACCTTCCTTTTCTTTACATTTTTCTGCAAAAAAACAACAACAACAACAAAGTAAATCAAGAACAAAAAGTCAGGTTTAATATTAATATTTGAGAGAGGAAAACAAGGTGCAAGCTTGATTTTCCAGACAAACTAACAAAATGATCAGAACAAAAGAAATCATCCTAAACATGGAAACCGTTGCACCCAAAGACAAAAAAAAACAACCCTTCTGGACAGTATTTTACTGTATTTTAGAGAAATCAAATTCAGTCTGTGATGATATAGATGATAGAAGTGTATATCTCTATCTGATGTTAGTACTGACTGTCAAGGTGTGTCAGTGATCCTTCTTTCAACAAGACAGAGGATGAATCAAAGTTTTGCACTTTTAGGTCAATAAAGCAGTGAAATGTGTGCAAATACTCACCAGTGTAGCACACAGAAGGTAAGTTACTTCTACAGTCCAGATCGTTGAGTTTCGCCCCCGGAGTCACAATCACGCAGTACTGATTGCTCTTCCAGTTGTTTGGCTGATTGGAATCCCAGGGCATGAATGTGGATGGGCTTTTAGATCCAGGAATTTTAAAAAAGAGGATAAATTTATAGTTAGCAACTCATGCAACTACAGCTCATACAAAAACTCAACAATGCAAGAAAAACATCATTTGACATTGATTTTTTTTATTTTTATTAAAATGTAGACGTGCTCATTAGATCCTACACATGTCAGTTAGACTTTGCTTGAACAGTTTGTTCTTTAACTCATCATTTAACTCGTTTTTAAGCAGAACTGGTGCAGGTGATCGACCTCAAATGCCACTGCTGTGGTTATACTACACACAGTCATGCAAACAGAGCTGGTTTGAATGTGGATTTGAATGTTAGAGAGCGTGAGACGAGCTGCGTCTGAAACATGCAGCACTTAGTCACATACACAAACATACAGTATATCAGCACAGAAGACACTGGACTGAGACTGCACAGCAATCACATTCCTGAAGTTTCCATGTAAGGATCACTTAAAGTGGGAACTAAATGTCTTTTCCAACTGTTTATTACACAGAATCTGTGCCAATATCACGGACCATAACTATATCAGCATCACTTCGCCACTGAGTGTAGCTGCATTTTATCTTTATCATGTAGACAACAGGTTAAAGCAAAAATATGAATATATAGCGCATAAATTCAGCAAAATGCTCCTCTTTAAAGTTATTTCTTCTGGCTGATTAATGAGCTTATGGAGGCTGAATGGTTATTCTGAGTTAAATGTGTTTTCTGCAGTCTGAAACACTGAACGAGCGATTGCATGAGATTTCAGTAAGCTGTACTGTCTCTAATAAAATACCTTTTGATGTGCATTCGTCTTTATTTCGTACTATAGTGGTAAAGAGAACGATCTGATGGGCTCATGCTGCATTAAAGAGCGCCAAAACGGTATTTACGTGTTATGTGCACATTTTTAAAATCATAACATTTATATAGTCGCCAGTGGCGATCACAGCAAAAATATCACTCGCAAATTAATATTTGTGGTTTTAGTCGCAGTCTTGAGCCCTGCATGTTTCATACACCTGATTATATATAGCATTTTATTCCTACATAGTAAAAATGTATGTTTTTTTGCCTCTTAAAAGTATTTTCTGATTTATGGAGTGATTAAAATGAAAAATCCAAAATCCCCTCTACATAAAACTTTAATGTGTCAACTCAATCAAACGTGAATTTTGAACCGGGCTTCATCCAATGTTCAGATTTAGGTGCTAGAAATGCATGCAAATGACTGCATTTTTGATGCCTCAATCACATACTTGAAACACAAAACATGTACTGTGATTAATCAGAGGAAAGTATGGTGATCTATTAGTTCAAATCTGGAGCCTATTCACCTTCATACACCAAAAGCTCCAGGAAGTGTCATTGCTTTGGAGGGAAACAGCAGCAGGTCAGATTAACATGGGTTTTTTTAGTGCATCTCACCTTTCCTGGCTTCCTCCTCCAGTTCGTCCCAGTCTTTGCCGCTCTCCTCCTCGCTGCCCAGAGACGCGCTGTAATCTGTGATTAATGATCAGACATCAACATCCCTCTCTACAGACGCTTTAGTAGCACAGCCAAATTCTCACCCACTCTGCTAAACTACAGCTCCTAATCAAAGCGGCTGATTACCAGAGTCCTCGGTCTCCGAGGAGTAATCTTCATCGCTGTCCTCCTCTTCCACCTCCTCCTCGTCAGCCGAGGGGTTAAACGTCTCGTCCTCCATCTCAGACTCGGAGTCTTGCTCCGCGCCGCTTCCCTGAGACACAGAAACACCACCACGTTAACATCCGAATAATTGTGATCAGCTGAATATATAATAACTACAGATTAAACAGATGCTTGCTCTCCAGAATCATTTCAGCTAAAAAAAATTTACTTTTGTAACTTGAAATAAAATAAGTTCATCTTTACTTTAATCAAAATACATCTTAATTTATCTAAATATATTATTAATATAAATTTATAATACATCTTTAAATTATAATCTTTTTTAATGAAATGCATTTCATTATAATTGTCACTATTATTATTATTATTAATACGATTTTTATTATTTTCAAACAGCTAAATACATTTCATTCAAATATTATGATAAAAAATACTGAATTGGATAAAGAAATATTAGAGACGAAACACATCTACTGCCAAATGCTTAGTCACCAGTTATCGCAACTGAAAACTGTTGCTTTAATTGAAATAAAGTAAACATTAACACTTATTTTACTATTTAAAAAAATAAATAAATTATAAATAAATAATATATATATAAAAATTATAATTTTTTTGCGCATTTAAATATAGAAAGATAGAACTACGGACATTAAAAAAAAGAAATACAAAAAATTTAAATTACATTTAAATTAAAGAAAAATTGTAAATGTATAAAAAACAGATTTAAACTTTAAATGAGTGTTGAAACTAGCTAATATATTTAAGTTAATATACTAAAATAACTAAAAACTAAAGTATACAGACATTTAACAAGTAAAAAAACGAACTACTACAAATAACAAAACAAAATTACTTTTAAAATTCAAACAAAATGTACAAATTTACTATAACTAAAAATTAACAAAAATAAATAAAAAATAGCATCTTATTCAAAATATGAACGAAAGCAACAAGTCATTAAAGGGTTAGTTCACCCCAAAAATGAAAATCAGGCTGTGTTTTACTCACCCCTGAGCCATCCTAGGTGTATATGACTTTCTTCTTTCAGACGAATCCAGTCGGAGTTATATTAAAAATTGTCGTTGATCTTTCAAGCTCTATCGTTGTACTCAGCGGGTGTTGCATGCTTCAGTCCAAAAGACGTGAAATAAAAAGCGAAGCAAAAGAAGCAAAGTTTCCTTACTTTAGCAAAGGAAAACCAGTCTCGACTTGGCTTATATCCAAATCTTAATACATTCTTCTTTACAAATCCTAGTTTTGTACTTCTAAGTCTTGACAGTTGTTTTGTTTCGATCTCTCTGCTGCGTTTCCGCGTGCGTCACTTCGGAGCGGCGCATGTGCAAAGCCGTCCTCTGCTTCTGTGTACAACAGTGAGCGCAAGCTAGATTAAAGTGATTATTATGTTTTGAATATGGATAATTTTCTTACAAAAACCCATTGATTCGCTACAGGAGGCCTTTGTTCACCCCCCGCAGCCGTGTGAAACACTTTTTTTTTTATTATGGATGGGTTTTATTTTTATTTCACTTCTTTTGGACTGAAGCAACGCGACACCCGCTGACTGCCATTAAACAGCTTGGAAGAGTCAGGACAATTTTTAATAACTCTGACTGGATTCGTCTGAAAGAAGAAAGTCATATACACCTAGGATGAAAAATGTATGTTTTTTTGCCTCTTAAAAGTATTTTCTGATTTATGGAGTGATTAAAATGAAAAATCCAAAATCCCCTCTACATAAAACTTTAATGTGTCAACTCAATCAAACGTGAATTTTGAACCGGGCTTCATCCAATGTTCAGATTTAGGTGCTAGAAATGCATGCAAATGACTGCATTTTTGATGCCTCAATCACATACTTGAAACACAAAACATGTACTGTGATTAATCAGAGGAAAGTATGGTGATCTATTAGTTCAAATCTGGAGCCTATTCACCTTCATACACCAAAAGCTCCAGGAAGTGTCATTGCTTTGGAGGGAAACAGCAGCAGGTCAGATTAACATGGGTTTTTTTAGTGCATCTCACCTTTCCTGGCTTCCTCCTCTAGTTCGTCCCAGTCTTTGCCGCTCTCCTCCTCGCTGCCCAGAGACGCGCTGTAATCTGTGATTAATGATCAGACATCAACATCCCTCTCTACAGACGCTTTAGTAGCACAGCCAAATTCTCACCCACTCTGCTAAACTACAGCTCCTAATCAAAGCGGCTGATTACCAGAGTCCTCGGTCTCCGAGGAGTAATCTTCATCGCTGTCCTCCTCTTCCACCTCCTCCTCGTCAGCCGAGGGGTTAAACGTCTCATCCTCCATCTCAGACTCGGAGTCTTGCTCCGCGCCGCTTCCCTGAGACACAGAAACACCACCACGTTAACATCCGAATAATTGTGATCAGCTGAAGATATAATAACTACAGATTAAACAGATGCTTGCTCTCCAGAATCATTACAGCTAAAAAAAATTTACTTTTGTAACTTGAAATAAAAGAAGTTCCTTTACTTTAATCAAAATACATCTTAATTTATCTAAATATATTATTAATATAAATTTATAATACATCTTTAAATGATAATCTTTTTTAATGAAATGCATTTCATTATAATTGTCACTATTATTATTATTATTATTATTATTAATACGATTTTTATTATTTTCAAACAGCTAAATACATTTCATTCAAATATTATGATAAAAAAATACTGAATTGGATAAAGAAATATTAGAGACGAAACACATCTACTGCCAAATGCTTAGTCACCAGTTATCGCAACTGAAAACTGTTGCTTTAATTGAAATAAAGTAAACATTAACACTTATTTTACTATTTAAAAAAATAAATAAATTATAAATAAATAATATATATATAAAAATTATAATTTTTTTGCGCATTTAAATATAGAAAGATAGAACTACGGACATTAAAAAAAAGAAATACAAAAAATTTAAATTACATTTAAATTAAAGAAAAATTGTAAATGTATAAAAAACAGATTTAAACTTTAAATGAGTGTTGAAACTAGCTAATATATTTAAGTTAATATACTAAAATAACTAAAAACTAAAGTATACAGACATTTAACAAGTAAAAAAACGAACTACTACAAATAACAAAACAAAATTACTTTTAAAATTCAAACAAAATGTACAAATTTACTATAACTAAAAATTAACAAAAATAAATAAAAAATAGCATCTTATTCAAAATATGAACGAAAGCAACAAGTCATTAAAGGGTTAGTTCACCCCAAAAATGAAAATCAGGCTGTGTTTTACTCACCCCTGAGCCATCCTAGGTGTATATGACTTTCTTCTTTCAGACGAATCCAGTCGGAGTTATATTAAAAATTGTCGTTGATCTTTCAAGCTCTATCGTTGTACTCAGCGGGTGTTGCATGCTTCAGTCCAAAAGACGTGAAATAAAAAGCGAAGCAAAAGAAGCAAAGTTTCCTTACTTTAGCAAAGGAAAACCAGTCTCGACTTGGCTTATATCCAAATCTTAATACATTCTTCTTTACAAATCCTAGTTTTGTACTTCTAAGTCTTGACAGTTGTTTTGTTTCGATCTCTCTGCTGCGTTTCCGCGTGCGTCACTTCGGAGCGGCGCATGTGCAAAGCCGTCCTCTGCTTCTGTGTACAACAGTGAGCGCAAGCTAGATTAAAGTGATTATTATGTTTTGAATATGGATAATTTTCTTACAAAAACCCATTGATTCGCTACAGGAGGCCTTTGTTCACCCCCCGCAGCCGTGTGAAACACTTTTTTTTTTATTATGGATGGGTTTTATTTTTATTTCACTTCTTTTGGACTGAAGCAACGCGACACCCGCTGACTGCCATTAAACAGCTTGGAAGAGTCAGGACAATTTTTAATAACTCTGACTGGATTCGTCTGAAAGAAGAAAGTCATATACACCTAGGATGCCTCAGGGGTGAGTAAAACACAGCCTAATTAATTTTTTAATTATTCTAATTCCTTCATTTTCAGGTGAACTAACCCTTTAACGATGCTAAAACGACACAAGAGCCCCACAGGTTTGAAAAAAAACGCATTCAAAATATTAATTAAAACTCTACTTGTATCCCAGGTCAGATTGATCACAGCGAGACGTCTTACCTCACTCTCCGGATCGAGGAAGGACCAGCCGCCCTGCTCGAAAAAGCCCTCGGGATCATCCACAATGGTCTTCATGATCTTGGTCCAGTTCAGAGACTGTACGCCTTCAGTGTACTTGATATCGCACGAGCTGCACACAGACACACAACACGTTCACTCACACTGTAAACGTCTCAGACGAGAGCGGTGCGGCCGGCACGCCAGCTTACTTGAGCCACTCTTTGATGGGGTCCAGAGAGTTGACGGGCACGGCGTTAATCATGGTGACTTTCTTGTTGTAGTCCTTATAAACGATGACCACGTCGAAGTTCTTCAGATGAAACTGGACTCGCTCGAAATGAACCAGCTCCACCTCGTCGAGCGTCACCACGAACGGAGGCTGCGCGAGAGAAGCGGGTCGTAAGGACGGGTGTTTGTGGCGCGGTATCATTTATTTTTTTATTTTCTAAGTTGGCGAGATACTCACCCACTCCGTGACATTACTGAGGGCGCTGGAAGTGGGCTGCAGCAGGCAGGTGCTCCTGTAGGGGGCGCCCTGGAATCTGAAACAAAAACACACAGATGTCACATGACGACGAAACAACTACTTGCAGAGCACTTAAACCAGGAGAACTTCGGTGAAAAGCTATTGGGTCACATTTGCTAATAATAGCGCAGGAGAACTGCTTGACGAAAACGTTCTGGCTTTTTCACGACAACATTAATCTGTTCTTGACCTCTAACCAACATAATTAAAATGAGCAACCACGCTCCCAAGGTTAGCATTTAGCATAAAACACAACATCGTATGAGGGTTTGAGAATCTTTTCTTTATCTTTCACCATTCTCCCTGATAAACTTTGCGTTCACTTGCGAAACATTTGCATTCTCTCTCAAAAGTTTTGCTTTCTCCCAATAAGTTGTGTTCGCTTGCAAAACTTCTGCATTCCCGATAAACTTAGCATTTGTTCGCTAGACCTGACTCACTGAGAAACTTTGCTTTCACTTTGCGAAATTTGTTCTCAAAAGTTTCACGTTTCCCCAAGAAAAGTTGTGATCGCTTAAATGTTTGCATTTATAGTAAATGTACGAAAGTCGAGAAGCGGACGTCGACGACGAAAGTCGATTCGCTTCTTTGACATCGATTGTCGACATCGATAGTCGAGACGCGAACGTCGAGACGCGAACGTCGAGACGCGAACGTCGAGGGCGAACGTCGAGGGCGAACGTCGAGACGCGAACGTCGAGGGCGAACGTCGAGACGCGAACGTCGAGACGCGAACGTCGAGACGCGAACGTCGAGACGCGAACGTAATAGTTGCAATAACCTTTGCGTTCACTTGTGAAAATTTGTTTGCTTAAGTTTTGCGTTTCCGAAAATAAACTTTGCTTATACTCAAAAGTTCTGTTCCCCTGAGAAATTTAGCATTTCCTCGCAAAACTTTCAGTGAGATTGCGTTCACTTGCACAACTTTTGCATTTTACCAAAAAACATGGCGTTAACTCAAAACGTTACCGAGAAACTTATTCTTCGCAAAACTTGTTGTTTCCCCAAGAAACTCTGCTTTCGCTTGCCGACACCTTTGTGTTTCCTTAAGAAACACCGTACATTTGCGAAACTTCTTGATTAACTTTGCGTTAAATCGCAAAGCTTGTTTCCCCGAGAAACTTTGCGAAAATGTGTACGATCTCAAAACTTCGGCATTTCCCCCAAAAAAACTTTGTTTGCTCACAAAACCTTGCATCACCGAGAAACTTTGTTTTGCGTTCCTCTTGTAAACTTTGTCTTCATTCGTAAAAAATAAAATTAAAAAAAGGTAGCATTTGCATCGCACAATGCGATTATGGTTTTCAGTTATTTCTAAATTTTTCGTAAATTTACAATAAATAAGCACAAACATTTCCGTGTTCTTCATTAACTTTGCGTTAAATTGTAAAGCTTGTTTCCCCAAGAAACTTTGCGAAATTGTTTTTGCTCTGAAAACATCTGTGTTTCCCCAAAAAACATTGTTTGCTCAAATTTTGCATGACTGAGAAAACTGTTTTCACAAGTTTAGCGTTCCTCTTGCATTTGCCTTCAGTGCCCATGTATAAAATCTCATGTTTATAAGGCATCGAACAATATTAGATTTGTGCGTTTCAGTTGTTTATATTTTCCGTAAATTTAGAATAAATTTTAGCACCAACATTAATGAATCATTTGTAAAAAGTTTGACAACCAAATTCCCGCACTGATAGTGAATGACAGCCATTGTTTTGATTGAGGTCTTATTTGCGTATGGAAACATTCAAGCATGTTTGACGCGGTTACGATTCGAAACTGATCACAACGCATGACAGCGAGCAACTTAATCCACTCACCCGAGATCTCTGAAAGGAACCTCGAACTCCAGCTCTTCCTTAGTGAGCGACTCGACCTTCTCGATGAAGTTCTTGAAGGCGGATTTGAGTTTGTGTCGCATCTCTCGCTCCATCTGTTCGGCGTAGAGGTCGTCGCGGTCGTGCATGTGCTGGTGTTTGCCCAGGTCTGTGGTGATCTCGCCCACCTCCGTGTAGAACTGCACGTCCGTGTGACGCTTCTTACCGAACATGATGGCGTTCTACGACAGACA